CTTAGTGTCCAGGCTGGAGAATTCACCTACTGTGTGGAGAGACCATCTTGGCGTTCACCTCACTTAGAAAAAATGGTTGACCGGCAGTATAAAAATCCAGTTGGCCAACCAACCAACTTGGGTTTAATCCACCATGTTAAAAACTGACTAGAATATGGTAGTGAAGTTGTGTTAAGGGAAGCTGCATCAAAACATGGTTTTGAAAGAAGGAACTCTGAGATGCCTGTGGATTCCAGCTGTGTATGCGGAGTCAAAAAACGAAGGTGGGAACGTACTGGAGCCAGATTAACCACGAATGTGTACACAGCCCCAGACTCCTAGCAGGCGTGAAGAGCTTCTGTTTGTTCAAGCAGCTATTTAGGGAGAACATGTTGGGACTCCTTTAAGTTTTCCTGCCTTGTATACAAGCCATAAATAATTATCAGCTGGGTGAGAGTGGACAGAACAGCAGCTACAGTCATGTCATATCACTCTTCTCTCCACCGCCACCTTAAAGAATCATTTTCCCGTATGCCAGCCCTGACGGGGAAGACTGCAGACAGATGGCTTCATTCAATGTGTAGTTGGAGACAGTTTTCTACTTGCATCTTATTTTGAGATGCCACAACAGGATGAGGCACAGACCCTGATCAGTCTCCTCTTCTCTTTCTTTTCCACCCTTCCTTCCCACCCCGAACAGTTGCACAAACCCAACATTGTGCGTTCAGTGTAGTGGGCCCAAACCTGTGGAACACTCTCCCAACTGAGATTAGACAGGCAAAACTTCAGGTGCATGACTAAGACTATCTTGTTCCAACAGACATTTTAAGATAAGAGTTTGGTTTCGTGATTTGTTTCTATTATTGTTATTGCTGTTATTATTACAGCATGGAGGTGCAGGTCAATTCTGTGTCCAGAGCAACAGTCTACCAGCTCCATCTGGTATGCAGGCCGAGACCCTACCTGCCCACAGACTGTCTCTCCAGAGTGGTGCATGCTCTGGTTATCTCCCACTTGAACTACTGCAATGCGCTCTTTGAAGGTGACTGGAAACTATAACTAATCCAGAATGTGGCAGCCAGACTGGTGACTGGGAGTGGCCACCGAGACCACATAACACCAATCCTGCAAGACCTACATTGGCTCCCAGTACGTTTCCAAGCACAATTCAAAGTTTTGGTGCTGATCTTTAAAGCCCTAAACAGCTTCGGCCCAGTATATCTGAAGGAGCATCTCCACCCCCATTGTTCAGCCCAGACACTGAGGTCCAGCTCTGAGGGCCTTCTGGCAGTTCCCTCATTGCGAGAAGTGAGGTTACAGGGAACCAGGCAGATGGCCTTCTTGATAGTCAAGGAAATAAACAACTACAGTGGTACCTCTGGTTCCGGTGGTCCGTTTGTAACCTGAAACTGTTCTTAACATGAGGCGCGCTTTTGCTAATGGCGCCTCCCGCTGCTGCCGCGCCGCCGGTGCACGACATCTGCTCACATCCAGGGGCAAAGTTTGTAACAAGGAGCATCTACTTCCAGGTTAGCGGAGCTCGTAACCTGAAGCATTCATAAGGAGGGCAGTATGTAACATGAGGTTCCACTGTATTTTAGAAGGCATCTGAAGGCAGCCCTGTTTAGGGAAGTTCTTAATCTTTGATGTTTTATCACATTATTATTATTATTATTATTATTATTATTCTGTTGGGAGCTGCCCAGAGTGGCTGAGGAAACTTTGCCAGATAGGCAGAGTATAAATAATAAATTATTATTATTATTATTATTCACCCTCCACCAACAGGTCCCAGTGTAATCTCAGAATTCAAGATTAAAAGCAGTTAAAATAGATTACAAGCGCAGGAATAGGGTGGGCCTTGAAATTTTGTTTTTTTATTTGGTCCCATTTTCACCCCTGAAATTGAAGGTGAAAGGAGCTAAAAAGGAGCTTCCACTTTGGGTTCTCTCTGGATGTTAAAAAGCTAAGTAAAAACGTGAAGAATACAGTAAAAATAACCGTGTAGTAGTCTTGATGTTTACATTGACAAACGGTTTTGGATCGACATCTTCAAAGGATGCTGGAAACCTCATGTACTTTAAATTGAGGTGGCATCTGCATCTTGCTGTGACTTCATCATGAGTTTCTGCCGCCATGCACTCATCCTGGCTTTGGGTATTGCCTGAAAGCCAAATCCTGCATGTGTTGGCGGGGCCATATGTCTAGCTCACCACAGACTGGAAAGCTTTGAAATTATAGTAAGCAAGTGCCCAGGTGTGACTCAGAACTGATTCCCAAGTTGAGCTTGCCATAAGGCAGGCTGGGTAACTTGCTTCGCAGTGCAGGTGCCACTGAGCACCACACAGGTAGATGGATATTCAAAATTCAGCACAACAGGTACCACTTTTTAGGATGCTTCTTGTTTCTCCAGTTTTATGCCAAAGCACCAAGATGCCCAGAAAAATCCCATGCGGACGTCCTCTAAATAGCATTGGACACCATTCAGATACCAGGACCTCTCAGGCAGAACCTCAGCCAACAACTCATTATGACAAAATAACTTGGCACGCACTTTTTAGGGCTGTAGAAAATCTGCCAAGCAGTTTTCCTTTGCGACGCACATGCATCGTGCCGCATTTAAACTAATTTAAAAACACTTAATATTCTAAATATTGAGTTTCCCCATTTCCTTTCCAAAAGGCCCTGGCTTTATTAAATCTATATTATTTCCAAAGCAGTCACTTTTTTAAAAAAAGATTTACTACAATTCTTAGTTTTTGTATTTTATCCCTACTTTTTTCATTGCATCCCACTCCCCCATCTCCCATTTTTTTGTGATTTGTGTGTGTGTTGAATGTGTCTGTGTGTTCGCACCCGCCCCCATGAATTTCTGTTAAATTTCCGAACTGGCTTGATATACTTCACACAATGAGAAGAAGGCACAGATGAAGCAGACCTCTTTCTTGAAACGCTATGATATAGGTCGTTTGTAGCCTCTCAGCAATATTTTTACTGTTCTTAAGGGACTCACAATTTCTTCTGCTTGGAGTGTTTTTATCACAATATCTGATTGGTGTCCATGATGCTAGTATGAGGGAATGTTTCTTGTGATTTCAAACATTTTTAGATTACATATAAAAGAGTAAACTGACCAGGTTTTCTAAGTTTATGCAGCATAGTCAGAATAAAGGATGGAAGGACCTGTCACTTTTGGTTCTCTCGGTTTCTCATCTTCCCAGTCTTAAATTCAGTTTTCAACATTCTTTCCTTTCCTTTTCCTTCCTTTGAACTCTGGGCTTTCTAAGCACATACAACAAGGGGTCGTGTTCTGGCCTTGATTTGTTTTTCAAGCCCAGTGAACAGGTATTGTGTCCCAGCAACTTTCAAATGAGAGTACAGTGGTACCTCGGGTTAAGTACTTAATTCGTTCCGGAGGTCCGTACTTAACCTGAAACTGTTCTTAACCTGAAGCACCACCTTAGTTAATGGGGCCTCCTGCTGCTGCCGCACCACCGGAGCACAATTTCTGTTCTCATCCTGAAGCAAAGTTCTTAACCTGAAGCACTATTTCTGGGTTAGCGGAGTCTGTAACCTGAAGCGTATGTAACCTGAAGCGTATGTAACCTGAGGTACCACTGTATTTCCAAGTAGGAAATGAGAACAGCATCTGAAAAGCAAAGCAAAGCAAAGCAAAAAGCAAAGCAAAGCAAAGCAAAGTCAAAACCAACCAAACCAAAACCAAAACCAAAAGCAAAAACAACAATCATATACACACACACACACACAGAGAGAGAGAGAGAGAGAGAGAGAGAGAGAGAGAGAAGGGCTTTTTTTCAGCCGTAACTCGCTGGAACCGAGTTCCAGCACCTCTTTTTCTAGAAAAATAGCACTGCACACAAGCATCTCAAAAGGCAAATGAATTTTTAGCTAGTCTTAGCTGTTAACATACAGTGATAACCAAGCTGGAGACAGAAATGAAGTAGATGTCAGCGATGCCTCTTGGGAGCAGGAGTTTATCAGCCTCTTCTCTGGTCCTCCGTTTGCTTTTAGCTATTGCCAAGTCTGGCCTGGGTAGACTGGCCTTCTCACCCAGTTGCCTTCTTCTACTTCTGCCCCATTCTCCTGGTTTGCAATTTCTTTTGAAAAAAAAGAAGTCTTCAGGAAAATTGTTCAGCATGTTAGTGTGAACTTCTCCTAAGACACACATTGCTGTGTTAAATTTTTCCTGATATAAACATTTTTGCAAAGCAATTTCCTCTAATATAAAATGATATTGGTTTTTTTTATTTATTAATATATGCATTTACAGTGGTACCTCAGGTTAAGTACTTAATTCGTTCCGGAGGTCCGTACTTAACCTGAAACTGTTCTTAACCTGAAGCACCACTTTAGCTAATGGGGCCTCCCGCTGCCGCCGTGCCGCCGGAGCACAATTTCTGTTCTCATCCTGAGGTAAAGTTCTTAACCCGAGGTACTATTTCTGGGTTAGTGGAGTCTGTAACCTGAAGCATATGTAACCTGAAGCGTATGTAACCCGAGGTACAACTGTATATGAATACTTGACCCTAGTATACAGATTTAGGGGTCACACAACTTGACTGGAGAACTACCTTGCAAAATCCAGAAACATTTTGAAAGCTGTGTTCACATACAAAGTCTGCCATGTTCACTTTTGAATGCAAACTGAATAAAAGATTTCTGCAATATCCTTTCCTAATACCACGACCTAATATTGATGTGTCAGCTGCTTAGCATGGCTGCCTAGTGTTCTTTAAGTTTATAATTATCTAAATTGAAATTGAAATTGTTAGGCTTAGTTGATGTGAAAATGGCTTGTTTTACTTGTTTTATTTTTTTCTAGTTTCACTAAGATTGCTTCTTAAAATCTAGCTGATGCTTCTTCCCTTTGGCTGATTCTAGTCAATCACAGATCACACAGTGAAAAACATGATGTCACAATGCTATGTAGCCAATCAGAATGGGTGAGCCAAGTCATTTGAGGAGAAAGGCCATGCTCCCTATATTAGTCACATCTAATCAGGACAGCGGGACGCAGGTGGCGCTGTGGTCTAAACCACAGAGCCTAGGGCTTGCCGATCAGAAGGTCGGCGGTTTGAATCCCCGCGATGGGATGAGCTCCCGTTGCTTGGTTCCTGCTCCTGCCAACCTAGCAGTTCGAAAGCATGAAGTGCAAGTAGATAAATAGGCACCACTCTGGCGGGAAGGTAAATGGTGTTTCTGTGCGCTGCTCTGGTTCACCAGAAGCGGCTTAGTCATGCTGGCCACATGACCCGGAAGCTGTACGCCGGCTCCCTTGGCCAATAAAGTGAGATGATTGCCGCAACCCCAGAGTTGTCCATGACTGGACCTGATGGTCAGGGTTCCCTTTACCTTTTAATCAGGACAGCAATACCTCAAGCACTGCCTCTCTCCATATGAACCTTCCCAGACCCTGAGATCACCATCTTGAGGCCATTCTTTGTGTGCCCCCTCCACAAGAAGTCTGGAGGGTGGCAACACGAGAAAGAACCTTTTCTGTAGTGGCTCTCCATTTGTGGAATGCTCTCCCCAGGAAGGCTCGCCTGGTGCCTTCATTATACATCTTTAGGCAAAAAATTTCCTCTTCAACCAGGCTTTTGCGTGATTATAATCCTATACCTTTTAAAATGTGTTTGCGGGAGGGGTTGGGGATGATTGGTTTGTCCTTGTTTTTATTATGTATGCTGTGTTTTTATCTTTAGCTAGCCCTGGGGATTATCTAAAGCTTATTTCCCCTAAACTGATTTTTGAGTTTTGAATTTTTTTGTTATTCATGTTTTTATACTGTATTTTATGCTGCTTTTATAATTAAGTGTTTTAAATTTGTTGTTAGCTGCCCTGAGGCCGGTTTTTGAACCGGGAAGGGTGGGGTATAAATAAAATATTATTATTATTACAGTGGTGCCCCGCAAGACGAATGCCTCGCAAGACGGAAAAACCGCTAGACGAAAGGGTTTTCCGTTTTGAAGTTGCTTCGCAGGACGAATTCCCCTATGGGCTTGCTTCGCAAGACGAAAATACCTTGCGAGTCTTGAGATTTTTTTCGCTTTTCCCCTTTATCTAATCTGCTAAGCCTTTAATAGCCTTTAATAGCCTTTTAGCAGCTAATCCCCTAAGCCTTTAAGCCTTTAATAGCCGCTAAACAGCTGATAGCGCTAATAGCGCTAATCCGTCAATGGGCTTGCTTCGCAAGACGAAAAAACCGCTAGACGAAGACTCTTGCGGAACGGATTAATTTCGTCTTGCGAGGCACCACTGTATTATTATTATTATTATTATTATTATTATCATCATCATCTTGAATTTTTACATTGTGAACCACCCTTTAATGAAAGGTGGTATACAAATTTAATAATAATAATAATAATAATAATAATAATAATAATAAAATACCAGGAATCATGCAGTTCATACATGAAGGGTGTTGACTTCCTGGTCATCTAGAACAATACCAATTGAGTTCTTCAATCACTATGGTGCTCTTTTTAAATATTATTTTCTTTCCTTGTGTTTTGTACTTAGAGAGGACACCTGGTTACGATTATAGACAGCATGCCTCGCTTGGTGTCCGCAACGCAGAAGTCTCCCATGTGAGGAGCCACATTTCCAAAAGCCGTCGCAGCAATACACTTGCTTATTGCAACTCTTGGATTCTTCTTTGAACTTGATAATCATCTGCAGCCTGTTTCCCGCCCCCTCCATATTTGCCCATGATTACTGGAGGGAGCAGGCTTCCTCATCCTTTCTCCATGGTAATTGGTCTCAGTGCAACCAGGAGAGGGGAAGGAGAAGGAAGATTCCTTCTTTTCCTCCTACCTTAAATTGATTCTTTTGTCTCGGAGGCTAAACAAGCCTCACTTCCTGGTATGCCCCAGGGCTTGGAAGATGGAGGCCTCTTGATTGATAGGCCCAAACAGAGTAATGGGCAGTGGTTATACCAGACATGACACAGACACAAAAAGTAGTCTGCTACAAGCAGCTACTGATGGATGTCAACATGAATTATTCACCAATCCGGATGTGCGTTCGACAGTAGCTTTAGAGCAGCACGAGAATTTCATAATGAAAATATTCTGGGGTTTTTTTTGGGGGGGTGCGTGTGTATGACTGGTGTCCATTTGTTCTTTGTTGTTGTTGTTGTTTAGTCATTTAGTCGTGTCCGACTCTTCGTGACCCCATGGACCAGAGCATGCCAGGCACTCCTGTCTTCCACTGCTTCCTGCAGTTTGGTCAAACTCATGCTGGTAGCTTTGAGAACACTGTCCAACCATCTCATCCTCTGTCGTCCCCTTCTCCTTGTGCCCTCAAATCTTTCCCAGCATCAGGGTCTTTTCCAGGGAGTCTTCTCTTCTCATGAGGTGGCCAAAGTATTGGAGCCTCAGCTTCAGGATCTGTCCTTCCAGTGAGCACTGAGGGCTGATTTCCTTCAGAATGGATAGATTTGATCTTCTTGCAGTCCATGGGACTCTCAAGAGTCTCCTCCAGCACCATAATTCAAAAGCATCAATTCTTCGGCGAACAGCCTTCTTTATGGTCCAGCTCTCACTTACCAGGAGCCAAAAAATAATGTCTTTCTATGGATCCACCTTCTGCCTGATACACAGGGAGCTTCTTAGTGCATTTCTTAGGCATCAGTGGTGGCTGGTGCTGACTAGACCTGGTGCACTGCTCGGAGGTCACAGGGCCATGGCGAAAGAGGGGTCACAGGGGTGTGGCCAAGATCTGGCTCCTTCCCCATCTTCCTCCCTTGCAAAGCTACCATGGGCACTTAAGCATTGCAATCTTTCAACTAAACTGAAAAGTGTTTTTCCAGAAGGGGTCCAGACCCCCCAAGTGTCCCTATTTTCCAGGGACAGCCCTGGATTTACAGAAGCCATCCTGGTTTCTGATTGGATCCCAGAATGTCCCACTTTTCCATTGGACATCCCTATTTTCATCAGAGAAATGTTGACGGGTTCGTTAGGACATCCCTATCTTCTTTGGAGAAATGTTGGAGGGGATGGAGTTACGCGACTCTTGAGCCAAGCAGATAAGTAACCATGCAACCTTTAGAAGACATCTGAAGGCAGCCCTGTAGTGGGAAGATTTTTTTAAAAAATGTTTTTTGATGTTTTTATATATGTTGGAAGCTGCCCAGAGTGGTTGGGGCAACCTAGTCAGATTATTATGGAATAGGATGTTCCTATGTTCATTGGAGAAATGTTGGAGGGTATGAGATATAGACACAGACATATAATGTGGCTGGGGCAACGCAGTCAGATGGCAGAGTATTATTATTATTATTATTATTATTATTTAGGAAACCTCTGTTTTCATCAGGGAAATGTTGGAGGGTAGGCGGTCCCTGTCGTTGCAGTTGCAAAGGTTTCTGTAGCCTATACCTGTTTTGGTTTTCACCCAATCTTCCCCCTTTGCACAGAAACAATGGACGCATTCTAACTTTTCTGCTGTCTTCATGTGCTTTTCAAGTGGGAACCTAGAGATGACCCACAATCAGCTGGTTGGAAAAGCAGTGATTCACTCATTTCCCAGAGTCCCTCACCTCATGAGCTTAGATCTTAAGGCCTTCATTCTATTTGGCACCCGCCCACTCTCCCTTGTTGCAAAAAAATAACATTTTCTCAATCTACTTGAACATACCCTTTCCTGGTTACGAAAGTAAACGTTGATCAGCTGCCGATTGCTCTCTCCTCCTGCTCCAGAACCTCCCAAATAAATGTGTTTGGTGGTCAAGGCTGATGTGGAAGTCCAGGCAGGCATAGACATCTATTCACCCAACTATTCATTCCACAAGAAAAGCAAATTTGGAACGCTTATTACAAGGTTGTTGACTAAGCACCCCAGGGAGCTTGCTCTGTGATTCAGTTACAGTCCAAGAGGTCAACCCTCACATAACTGGCTCAAGAGTCATTAGCTGAGTCAATGTGAGAGATAAGTAATTTCCTATTTCTATTCACACGAAAAATGACAGTGAAGTGAATAATAATAATAATAATATTTTTAGATTCATATCTTGCCCTCCCCAGCCGAAGCTGGGCTCAGACCGGCTAACAACAGTAAAATGATACAACATTCTAAAATCATTTCATTATAAAATCAATTCAAATCAGATTAATGGCAACCATTGGGCTAGAGTTCCGTGAGGATTGCCAAAGGCCTGGTGGAACAGCTCTGTCTTGCAGGCCCTGTGGAAAGATGTCAAGTCCCGCAGGGCCCTAGTCTCTTGTGACAGAGCGTTCCACCAGATCGGAGCCACAGCCAAAAAAGCCCTGGCTCTGGTTGAGGCCAGCCTAACCTCTCTGTGGCCCGGGACCTCCAAGGTGTTTTTGTTTGAAGACCGTAAGGTCCTCCGTGGGACATACAGGAGAGGCGGTCCCGTAGTTACGAGGGTCCTAGGCCGTATAGGGCTTTAAAGGTTAAAACCAGCACCTTAAACCTGATCCTGTACTCCACTGGGAGCCAGTGCAGCTGATATAGCACTGGGTGAATGTGATCCCGCAGCGAGGACCCCGGAAGGAGTCTCGCCACGGCATTCTGCACCTGCTGGAGTTTCTGGGTCAGCTTCAAGGGCAGTCCCACGTAGAGCAAGTTACAATAATCCAGTCTGGAGGTGACCCTTGTGTGGATCACAGTGGCTAGGTCAGGGCGAGAGAGGTAAGGAGCCAACTGCTTAGCTTTGCTTTTTTCACTTTTTGGGATGTTCAGTTTGCAATAAACACCTTAAATTTTCACCCTGTAGATTTTTCAGCAACTGAGCAGGCCTTACTGCCTGTTATCATGCGCCGATTGGTCATTCCTAGGTAGAATTTCTACCTCTGCTTAAATTGGTTTCCCTCAGAATAAATTTGTAGATTAGGATCTGTCTGCTCTAAGCTTTTTTGTCCTCCCCCCCCCCCGGTTGGACTGTTTCATCTGCCAGTCAACCGGGCCATAAACAAGTTGCACCATAAGGATGAATGTCTTAAAAACAGGTCTAAAGAGCTTGACTCTCTCTCGCTTTCTCTTTGGGGCTGCAGATAATTAGAGAGCGGGAGTTAGCAACGCATTAGTGAAGAGTGTTTGCCCTCGGGGTGGTTTCTAATGAGTTTTGTCTTTAAGTTCACAGTGTCTGTTTTCTCATGTTGTTGAGAATTTCACTTCTGCCTTCCTCACTCATCAAGTTTCCACTTGTCCTTTAGTCCGCAGAGAAGCTGCAGCTCATAAGAGAATAGAAGGAGGGAGATCAGACCAGAAGTCCATCTAGCCTAGTATTCTGTCACCAACAGTGGGCAGCCATCTGGAGAGGATAGTAGAGACAACCATTCCCTGTTGTTTGCCCCCGGTGTCTCCTTCACAGTTTCCCCAGCTCCTCAGATTCCAGCACAGGTTACTTTGCCAGCCTACTCTAGAGGATGGGCAGCCTTAAAATAGGTTTGATAGACATGTATGGAGCACCATAGTGTAGACTTGCAGAGCTCTTCAATCATGGGTCCCTAGATATTTGATGGACTACAACTCCTATCATCCCCTGTCAGGTTAGCCAATAGCAGGGGTGATGGGTGTAGTTGTACAACATATGGGGACCCAAGGTTGAAGCACTTAGTTTCTAAAATGACATGGCAGGGCTCACATTCAATACTCCAACTGGCACTCTTATTCCTTCTCCCACCTGTGTGCTTACTGCTGGCAATTTCTCAGGGCTGAGGAACAGCACATTCTTCATTTTTCATATATTCATTTCACTTTTAATTTGAATGCAGCCTTTCTATATTGCTACACGCAAGGCGGTTTACAAGCTGAGGAGACAACAAAATAGCAGAGACCTCACACCGAATAATCTGATCTAAGACAAAAAAGTCGTAATAAAAATGTAACTTTAAAATAAACATATCAGATAAAGCAATATTCAATAACCCATTAGAATGTAATAGCAAACCGTAAAATACCAGCAAATAATAATTAAACAGTTTTCACTTAACAATTGCAATAAAGAATTACTAAACTACAATCAATAAAAATAACGGCAAGTCAAAATGTGTAAAATACAGTTGTATTTTGGAAGTTGAATGGAATCCGTTCCGGAAGACCGTTCGACTTCCAAAACATTCATAAATGAAGGCGCAGCTTCCGATTGGCTGCAGGAAGCTCCTGCAGCCAATCGGAACCCGCATTGGACGTTCAGCTTCCAAAGAACGTTCGCAAACCAGAACACTCACTTCCGGGTTTCCGCCGTTTTGGAGCCAAAACGTTCGAGTTGCAAAGCGTTTGACTTCCAAGGTACAACTGTACCACAAAACATACAAATCCATGTAAAAGGTTGTCAAACTGAGAAACAAGGGCACACAACTTACATTCTTATTATTAAAAATAATAAAAATCCCTGAAGTCCTCTCTTCCCAGCTGCTTCTGCTGTTCCTAAAGCCATGGTCTGGGAAAGTCTCCTAGGGTTGGAGGGTAGGGCAAGGCAGGTGCAAAAAGTCATTGCTTGTCCAGCACAAAGTCTCTCTTCCAGTGCCGGGGTCTGCAACTACAAACTGGTCTCATGGCGGAGTCTTGGCTCACATTTAATCTTGTCAACCTCTTAGAATTGATGTGGACAACCTCCTCTGCTTGATGGGGCTACTTCCTTTCCTCCTCTTTCCCACCAGAGGGTGTTGCAAACAAAACCTGCCCTTATAGAGTCTTTTGTAGGTTCTCCATCGGTAGGAGAAAATAACAGAGGCCAACCAGAGAATATTGAGAAGCAAAGCAGCTCGTAAGCCTGATCTTTATTGATCTGTTGCAACAGGATGCTCCCCTCACCCGCAGGAAAGGAGGAGGAACCCAGAACAAAGGTGTGCCTGCCCTTATATAGACATTTTGAAATTCCCTGCCCTGGAGCTCAAGACCACCCCTCCATACATCACACATATATCACAGAAAAGGCAGTCTACAACAGAAATTTGAATGTTGTTGTTTTTCCTGTCTGCCAGGTTATCTGATAATGCCTTATGTGATTGCCTTTTCTGGTAGTCCTGCCATTCCTTTGAGATGATAATTACTTAATTCCTGAGACAATGGGAAGGTTCCCTCACCCCCTCCCTCCTTGCAGAGAAAACATTTGGTCAGTTTGGGAGTTTCAGGACCGTCTTCCTGTGCTGCTTCAGACATATAGTTTATATATTCATGTACATGTTTGCTTGGTACATTTATGGACATTTATTATGTATATATAAGACCTTAATTTTTTTATTTCAAGGGCCTGTTGAAATCAATCCTGTACCTAACCCACCTTTTCTGATGATGGCAAAGGGCCCTCTGAAGTTGCAGCCCCACCTTTGCCCATGCAGGTGAGGTGAGCCCTACGACATGGAGCTCAGATTCGACTCATCGGCTTGGATGTTTGACTGGAGACTTTTCTTCCCATTGTTTTCTTTTGTTGTATCAATGCTGCTGACTAAGCACCATCTTATTCTTTGTTCTGCTTCCCCTCCACCTTGCAGGCTGCTGGGTCATCGCTGAGCAATCAGTCAGACTTGCTAAAAGCCATTCCCTCCGTTCCATGTGGCTTTCCTACTTCCAGATGGGGTGAAGAAGGAAGGGAGGGGAAAAAAAAAAGCTATTTCCAGTGTTTATCAAAGGGCTGAGCTACAGTGTGCAAGCAAACCATCATTGTGCTTTATTGAGTATGGGGCTCATGGGATTTGACATCACTGCAAATTCACGTCTGGAAGAAAAACCCAGCTAGCGGAGAGAAAAAGGAAAGAAACACACACAAAAGAAACACGCACATCACAGGCTAAGCAATTAGTGTGATGCTTTGAAGCCTCTCAGGATTTTATTTTATTTTTTGTTAATGAGGGGTCAGGAATGGGGCTACAGGGCAGAGCCCTGGGTCTCATCTCTGATGCTACTTTTATGAGCTGCTAGGCTAAGAAGTCAGCAAAAATGCAGAGCAGAGCAATCATATCCAGGTATCGCTGGTCCTGGCTGCTGATCTTTCTTATCAGCTTTCTTAAAGGGATAGCTGTACTGTAAACCTAAGCAGGTTTTCCATCAGCTTAACTCTCACAGCTTGCTCCCCCCCAGAGAATTCTGGGAATTGTAGTTCAGTGCTAATTATCTGAGAGAGTTGCCTTCAAAGAATCATGACTCCTAAGATTCTAGGGGGAAAGGGAAGTTGCTATTCAATACAATCCCTATGTCTACAAAATCCATTATGCAGTGCAATGGTGAATGGAAACATGCATTAAAATATGTATAGTGTTATAAAAGATGCTGTTCTCATCTCCTACTTGGAAAAGCTCTCTTTTGAAAGTGTACGGAATAGAATACCTGTTCACTGGCTATGATTAGTTAAAGGTAAAGGTAAAGGGACCCCTGACCATTAGGTCCAGTTGTGGCCGACTCTGGGGTTGCAGCGCTCATCTCGCTTTACTGGCTGAGGGAGCCGGCGTACAGCTTCCGGGTCATGTGGCCAGCATGACTAAGCTGCTTCTGGCGAACCAGAGCAGCGCACGGAAACGCCGTTTACCTTCCCGCTGGAGCGGTACCTATTTATCTACTTGCACTTTGATGTGCTTTTGAACTGCTAGGTGGGCAGGAGCAGGGACCAAGCAACGGGAGCTCACCTCGTCGAGGGGATTTGAACCGCCGACCTTCTGATCGGCAAGTCCTAGGCTCTGTGGTTTAACCCACAGCGCCACCCGCGTTTAATAACTAAGAAAGTTCTAGCTCAGAGGTTTTCAACCTTTTTGAGTCCATGGTTCCCTTGACCAACTACATTCAATCTGCAACACCCCTATGGGGCTCAGGAGTCCAGCTATGTCACCCCTTACCTACAGAGCCGGCAGCCCCTCACCCCTTGTGGAGCGTTCCCTCAGCCTTCTCTCCTATCTCATTGGGAGTTCTCTGGGCAGCCACAGCTGCCACCCCAGTCTCCTGCCCCAAAGAGAGGTGCCTCTTCACACTGCCCCACAGGGGCCTGGGAAGCACCCACTAGCCAGCCCCAGAGGCACCATTCACCAAGGGAGCTTGTAGCCAGGGCTGCTGCAACAAACCGCTGTGCAAGCCTTTGGGAGGCAGAGACGCAAGAGGGCATCAGAGGAGGGAGGGAAGGAAGGAGGGACAGAGGCCAGTGTTGCCCGGGGCACCCCTGACTATCATTCAAGGCACCCCAGGGTGCCATGGCACACTGGTTAAAAGCCACTGGTCTATCTAATACAGCATGGTTTGGGTGTGTTCAGGGTTACATGCAAACCTGGACCTCAAATCCTTTTGTCTGAGAACATCTGCAGGCACTTATTGGCATGTTTTAACTGGTGCTAAAAAGAGGGAGGAAGGCTTATGCAGAATGCCATTCCCTCCTTGCCCAAAGAAACCCTAGCTATAACCACTATTTCCAGCAACCCAATTTTACCCCTTTCTATTTTGCAAAGCGCCCTGGAATCTGCTTTGACTTATTTAAATGTTAAATCAATATATTCACCTAAGTTAAACGATTCCACCCTCTCCTCCCCCTGCAATAACCTGTGATTTTTGCTAAACCAAGAAGAAGGGATTTAATTTGAGTCAGGACTCAACAGGACATAGCACCAGAACCTGTTTAGCATGCCATGGCTCTGTCGTCGAACAGGAGCCAGAGCCTGACTGTCTTTCACGGCCGTCCTCCAAAAACAGCCTGCGTGTATTCTTAGTAACAAAACATGAATAGCTCTTTACAAAGTTTAATCTGCCTTTAAGGGAGAAGTAGTCATATCTGGATCCACCCATTGGCAGCAGCTATATGTACACACACACACACACACACACACACACACACACTCGTATTTGGTAAAGTTTAGCACATCGAACATCTGCAGTCTTTAGTGGACCTTTGATTTGATTGTGGCACAGCTGTTATGTTCTTAAGAACAGAGCAGGTTACACACCCAAATTGCTCCCAGCGTAAATGGGTCTGAATATATGTTGCGCTTGAGCATGCCAAAGGATGAGGCAAATATATACCAGGGGACCTGCAACAAGAAGTTGCAGCGTGAAGTTCTGCTTTTCAGGATTCCAGACACTTTGATTCCACCCATAGGTGCCAGCTCCTAGGAGCTGAGGTCCCTTAGACCTCCCAATAAAATATTTGAGGGGGCTAGGCCCCTCTAAAATTGATAGGCATTGCCATTAAAATTGTGTGCATGTGCCACATCATGTGATCGATTATGTGGGGCAAACCTTAAAGGTAAAGGTAAAGGTATCCCTGACCATTAGGTCCAGTCGTGACCGACTCTGGGGTTGCGGCGCTCATCTCGCTTTATTGGCCGAGGGAGGTGGCATACAGCTTCTGGGTCATGTGGCCAGCATGACTAAGCCGCTTCTGGCGAACCAGAGCAGCACACTGAAACGCCGTTTACCTTCCCGCCAGAGCGGTACCTATTTATCTACTTGCACTTTGACGTGCTTTCGAACTGCTAGGTTGGCAGGAGCAGGGACCGAGCAATGGGAGCTCACCCCATTGCGGGAATTCGAATTGGGAGATCAGCAAGCCCAGGCTCTGTGGTTTAACCCACAGCGCCACCCACGTCCCAGGGCAAAGCTTAACCCCCCCATATTTTATTAAAGTTGGCACCCCTGATTCCACCTCCCCTTGATTCCACTCTTCTCTGTTGCCAGTGCTTCCCCATATTTTGTGCTATTTCCAAAAGGACCAAAACAGTCTCTCTCTCTCTCTCTCTCTCTCTCTCTCTCTCTCTCTCTGCCTCTCGTGCCCTGGCAATTTAAATACTGACATTCTGAGCACACTTGAACTAGAGTATACGCTTGCACTGGTGGCAGGGCACTTATTTTTGGGTGGAATTCAATCACATACAGGCAAATTCAGGTTGCACAATTAAAGTGGATTTGGAACTCTAGCAGAGCGACCCATTTTCACCCAAAGATTGGACTTGTTGCAAGAAGGGAAGTGACAGGAAAATAGAAAGTTTTAGGATAACACTTGCTCTGCTGCGATGTAGCCTCTAATCTCCCCCAAAACAGTTCAGGATCAATGCTAACTAAACTGGTTGTCTGGAACCATTCTGACTTTGGAGTAAGGCCCATTGATGACAGCAGGACTTGGTTTTTAGTAAACATGCTTAGGATCATAGAGTCGTAGAATCGGATCACAGTCTATGCAACGTAGAGGAGGAAATGACCATGTATTTGAATGGTAATCCCACCTGAACGCAGTTCTCTGCTTTTACTCTTCCAATTCCTCAAGCAAAAAAACCCCATTTATCCTCCTTAACGATGTGTAATGGGGTTTCTGCCGCAGAAACAGCCAGGGCAGAATTAAGGGACATTCAACACATTGAAAAATAGGGTTTGCTAAAGAGAGGGAAAGCAAAGCTTGATTGGGAAACACAGCACAACATGTGTTCTGTGGCTCCGCTTTTAGGACAGCAATAAAGACAAATGCAAAGTTATGGGATGGGAAGGCTAAATGCGGCATAATAGCTCCATTTATTTTCCTTTCACCCTGTACACATTAAATGTTGGCACCTAGAGCTGACAGCTAAACAAACTGTGCTCTCTTTTAGAGAAGACTCGGAACAGCATTGCACGTTGTCAGATTTGCGGGCCAAAAAATAACAAACACAGATGTACGAGACAGAGCGAGAAGAGCTGGGTGGGGGGACGGCCTCTGAAATCTAGAATGAGAGAAAGAGAGAGTCGGGGGGGGGGGGCTGGGTGTGTAGTTCTGAAATATGGGCATTCCACCTCATTTATTAAAGCGGGTTTAGCTCGGTTGCTGTAAGGCAGTGGTGGTCATTGATATACACAAGGAAAAGCCAGCAAATACCTTTCGAGGGCTTGTTCACAAACTCCAGCCCGAGAGGTTACTGTTGTAACCTTTGTCTGCACCAACAAAACAATCAAACCAGGAGTCGGGTTCCAGGGTCTCTGAAGTTGCATGGGGACCCTATGGTATGGGTGCTGAGCACCCACAACATTTTCTGTGTGGGTGCTTGGTATCTATCTGTCTATCTATCTATCTATCTATCATCTATCTATCTATCTATCTATCTATCTATCTATCTATCTATCTATCTATCTATCTATCTATCTATCTATCATCTATCTATCTATCTATCTATCTATCTATCTATCTATCATCTTTCTTCTATCTATCTATCTATCTATCTATCTATCATCTATCTATATCTATCATCTATCTATCTATCTATCTATCTATCTATCTATCTATCTATCTATCTATCATCTATCTATCTATCATCATCTATCTCTATCTATCTATCATCATCTATCATCTATCTATCTATCATCTATCTATCTATCTATCTAT